TGGTTATTCAGTGTGGGATGGATGATTAAATTTACATACTAAAAGCCATTACACCTTGTGTGTTTGTTGCCAAGGTTAGTAAAATGCAAAATATTTTAAGTGATCAGAAACACAGATTGCAAGACTGGCTGTTTTTTTGTTTAAAAAGAAAAGCCAGAAAAAAGGGGGTATATACAGTAGGAGTGGGGTAATGAAGGAAAAAAATAAAGTTTATTTAAGAATGAGGTTGTGTTAGAATCCTTTTTTCGATTTGTTTTGCTGGTCCAGAATTAGAGTTCTTAATTCAAAATAAAATCAACTGAATATTCTAGTACACTCACTGAGACTTTTCATTTTGTTGTAACACACACACACGCACGCACGCACGCACGCACGCACGCACGCACGCACACACACACACACACAAATGCATCAACAAATGTTTAAATACTCAAGTTCCCAACAGCAGAATGTGAGTTTAGCCTGTTACCATGGTGAATAAGTCAGGCTCAAAATAAGATGAATCCGTTGTCTGACGTTTTGCCTTTAAGACCCTGTTTTCTGTTTTATTCACTTCAAGTTATTCTCACCAATCTGGTGAGAGATGAATGGTAGATTGGTGCTGTGTCTCCAGTGATGCGAGCTCTGTACCGGTTTGTCGTGGTGAAGCCAGAGCTGAGCCAGAAGGCAAAGCTCTGGATTTACCAGTTGGTCTACGTTCCTACCTCATCTATAGTCACGAGCTTTGGGTAGTGGCCGAAAGAACGAGATCGCGGATACAACAAGCCAAAATGAGTTTCCTTCGCAGGGTGTCTGGGCTCTCCCTTAGAGAAAGGGTGAGAAGCTCAGTCTTCTGGGAGGGACTCAGAGTAGAGCCGCTGCTCCTCCACGTTGAGAGGAGCCAGTTGAGGTGGCTCTGGCATCTGGTTAAGATGCCTCCTGGACGCCTCGCTGGTGAGGTGTTCTGGGCACGAAGGCTCAGAGCAAGACCCAGGACACGCTGGAGGGACTATGTTTCTCAGCTGGCCTGGGAACACCTTGGGATTCCCCCGGATGAGCTGGCCCAAGTGGCTGGGGTGAAGGAAGTCTGGGTCTCTCTGCTTAGGCTGCTGCCGCCGCGACCCGACCCCAGGTAAGCGGAAGAAAATAGACGGGCGAAGTTATTCTCAGTTTGTCAACTTCTTGTACAGTTTGGGTCATTTATGGACCCTGTTGTGGACCCAGTCACCTCTGTGTACCTCAGTACTACAGGACCCAATCACTACTGCATACCAGCCTGGACCTTTACGGACAGCTAAAACTTTTTACCTTGATGTACCAGCTGGACCATGTTGCCACTAAAACACCCGATCGCTGTTGTGTACCAGCCTAGACCTTGAAGAAACTTAAAGACCCCAATACCTCTGTGTACCAGCCTGGATTTATGAACAACAAAAAGGCACACTCATCTTTGTGTATCAACCTGGAACTCAGAACGTAAAAAAACAACTTGATCACATGTAGACCAGCCTTCACCACATGAAGAACCCATCAAACATTTCTTCACTCATAGTGGTGTACAGAGCCACCTGTCCTTCAGTTGAGAAACTATTGTATGACTGAGTAAAGGGCCAGACTTTGAGTTTTTTTCTAATCCTGAGAATAAAGTCATATTCTTACAAGAAAAAAAGTCATTATTAAAAAAAAATCAAAATGTGCGTTAGATTTACTTAAATAAATTATGTTCAACAGGTTCTACTCAATGGAATGGAGTAAATCCAAAGCTATTTTTTCACTTACTTTGTAAGTGAATGTGAAGTCTAATTGTGTTAGATTTACTCAATTCAGTTGAGTAGATAATTTTATTTATTTATTTTTTTTGTGAATGAGAAAGAATACGTAATATTCAACCAATTTGCTGCTGTGGACAGCCTCCAATTTACTGTTTATAAAATAGTCCACGATTGCTTTTGGGTTGCTTCCGCCACATTATGTGACATTTTTTTAAATGCAGCCACTAACTGCAATGCCACATGGGCGTTTATCATATGAACCCATATGCCATCAGGTCCCTGACGTTGGAGACACCACGCTTGCTGGGGTTTCATCTTTTTTTTCTAGCCACTTCAGTAGAAAACATAACTGAATATTAGTTTCTTCATCAATAGTTACTTTTTAAAAAATACTATAAAAAACAAGAAAAAGAAAGAGAAGAAAAATAATGGAAAAGATTGAAAGATAGATTAGAAAATATCTGTCATATCACCAAGAAAACACAAGACAACACACCCGACATCTGTCTGCACCACTGAGAAAATCAAAACACAGCAACAAAATATATGTTTATATAATACATACATATGTAGATATGCATATATAT